CTCAACCCATAAATATGACCATGTCCATTGAAGATTATTATCTTTACAATATGTATAAATTTCTCGAACAGCAGCTTTGTAAATTTGGTCTGCAGAATAATATTGCCTATCATATGCAGGAATAAGAGGATGTTGATTAATTATTACGGCATTCTGGGGGGCAAAAGGTAAATACTATCTTTTTGCCTTGTGATTTTGACTCTTCTATTTCAGGTTGCTGCAAGTTAATATTCAGATGGAAGTCAAGATCGATGAATGAAAATTCAGCATTTGCTTTGTATGGAGAATACCGAATTGTTTTTAACAATGCTAGTTGTCTCTTTATTGCTCATTTCAAATACCAAAAACAAAGCTGAATTTGAGCCTTTGGCTATACTGTCTTTATTGCTAATATTTGTGATAAATCTTTATCTGTCATTACAAAATTTGGATTAATTCCTTTAATTTGTAGTTGATTAAAAAAGTAAGTTATCATTTTTGTGCAAATTCCATCATTAAGTGCAGTTGTTGTGGTTAATAGCATATAAGCTAGAGGGATTCCCGTTCCATCTATCTCAGCAAGTACTGAATACATTTCGAGATTCATTTTGTTGGTATTGTCTAAATTATTGAAATTAATATTTATTTATTTATTTTAATTTATTTTTTTAAAAAATTAATTTTAATTATAGAAATACTTACATGTTGCATCTACACCAATTTCGGCTGCATTTACTCCTAGACGATGGATTATTTCTGTAATCCCAAAACAAATTAAAGTAACTTCATTATCGACTCTATGCATCATTATTTCAATATCCTTATACACTGATATAATTTTAATAGCTGAGTATATTTGGTCTTTATCTTTTTTCCAAATATACTGACTAAAATTCATCCACCAATGATATATTTGTTTTTCAGTAATATTTATATTTTTTGCACAGATATTTTCCCATAACATTTGAGGAGTTTGCTGAATATTATTTTGAATATATTCTTTTACTTCATTTGTAACACGCATATCAATATATTCAGTATGATATTTGTGAGTTAATTTAATATTAACTTGATTTTTTTTAGTATTAATAGTGATTGTTAGCCAACTCCCGCAATAAAATCTTTGCATCGGCAAATGATCTTTATACTTTGTAGGATCTTCATGTTTCTTAAGATCTTTCTGTCGGTCAAGCAATTGTGCACAGTGGTAACTATAAGCTGTAAGATGATTTGTCTTTAGCGGGATCCTGTCTTTGTAGCTTTAAAAAGATTAGTATTTATTTATTAAGTAATTTAATATACATTATATTTTTTATCCCTTAAATTGTAACACAGGCAAATTTGCCTGTGTTTTTATTAAAAAGTTTAATTTTTTTAATAAAAACTT